TAGTAAGGTATCGATGCAGGCTAAAATAGTGATAAAATTTCCACACAAAATCTGAAATGAAGAATAATGTAAGTACCATTAATAGGAGTCACCTAATTTATGTACATGAATTATTTAAATTTTGTTATTTAAAATGACCAAATTCCAGATTGTGGAAGAGCTATTAAACTGATTAATATTTCTTAATATTATAATGGCATATGTTTAAACATGGAAGCTCTGGTAGCATAGTGCCTAAGGCACTTGACTGCTAACCAGGAGGCTGGTGGTTCAAACCCACCAGCCACTCCTCGGAAGGAAGATGGGGTAATCTACTTCTGTAGTGATACTGCCTCGGAAACCCAAGGAGGAGGGGTTGCTATGAGTTGGGTCTGACTCTATGGAACATAACAACAACAACAATGTGTAAACATATATGATCTTTGAAAAATGCAGTTAAGCACCTAATATGGTAACAGAGCTTATGAAATCAGAAATGTTATTGGCTCAATCTAATTATTGTAAAAAACAAACAAACAAAAAAACCCAAACCCACTGCCATCAAGTTGATTCTGACTCATAGTGACTACCATTAGGTTTCCAAGGCTATCAATCTTTACAGAAGTAGATGTCTCATTTTCTCCCACGCAGCTGGTGGGTTTGAACTGCTAACCTTCTGGTTAGCAGCCAAATACCTTACTCACTACACTACTAGAGCTCCTTGGTTAGTGTGAAGGTAGAGGAAAACAACATATAACTTAATCATGTGTGTATAAATGTTTTTCTTTCTACCCTCCCCTCTTAAAAAGAAAAAAAAATTCTTAATTCAACAAATACCTTTTAAATGGCTCCTATTTGAAGTCTTTAATGGATATGGTGACCTTTTATAAGGTGTTTGCTTTCAAACAATTCATCCATTATTGTGGGGAAGTTGATGTCACACAGGTCACTATGAGTTGAAAATGGACCACAGTGTCCAATAACATCTTATAGATATGTTGTTGTTATGTACCACTGAGTCGGACCTGACTCACAACGACCCCCTCCTTGGATTTCCGAAGCTGTATCACTTCGGAGGTACATTACCCAACCTTCCTTCTAAGGAGTGGCTAGTGGGTTTGAACCACCAGCCTTCTGGTTAGCAGTCAAGTGCCTTAGGCACTACACTACCAGAGCTCCTAGCATCTGCAATCCAGAGAAGTGAAGGGACTTGATCCTAGTCATATTATTATTAGAAGTAGAAGCTAAAATATGAGAAAGGTCAGTACTTAAGAAAGATTCAGCCTTTCCTTCACATTATCTGGCATTTCATAATAATAACTGTTTGTTTGGTAAACATCTATAATGAGTCTTGGGTCCACTGGAGATAACAGAATCTTGCATTTCAAAATAATTTTTAACTATCAAGTGTTAAAATTAAGCATTTTCTCTGTAGGAGGTACTAAGGGAATCTGCTTTCATCTGTAGAGTGAATGCATAATTTTATCAATTGGTGTGCTTGAAAATTTAAGGAAGCCTGAACAGCAAACTATTTTACATTTTAAATCTCCTTGAATTTCTTTTGTTCCTTAGCCAAGTAAAAGAGAAATTTCAGACTTGTCTTATACAATAGTCAAAGACTCTTAAAATAATGAAGACCAAATTAATTGACTCTTATTATATGTAGCTGTAATCACTTATTGTTGAGTACCTAACAGCAAAGCTACTAATGAGAGTCCTGAATCATATGAAAATAGAAGACATTGTCTCACACCTAGTAGTAGCTTATAATTAAACAGGTTTTGAAACACTTGATGAAGACATAGTATTTCTACCACAAACAACTTCACGAAAGATTATCTAGCTATCTATACAAATTTGCTTGCACATATAAAGAGCAGGTAAAGGTATGTAATTAAAAATATGAATGCAAAGAGTCTGTGACCACCATGATAATACTGGGGTAAGAGAGGGCACTGAATTGTGCAATAAGATATAGACAACAGAGGCAGTATATGCACAATACTGCATTACCATTAACACCAAACACCAGGCTACAGATAAACACATAAACATCTGAGAAAATCAGATGGGGGTCAGTGACAGGATTATACTCTAGATGAAATATAGATTCAGCTAAGGCTGATCTTGCACAGATACCAGTGATACAAAATACCTATAATCCTTATAGAAACAACAGAAGACAGACATAGAGCAATCTCTCACAGACAGCCAGACACTGTGGGAGAGAGATCCAACAGATCTACCAACTCAGGACCATAGTATTGTGGGACACCAGACTCAACTGGCACAACAAAATACATAAAAATCTTGTTCCACAACCTACATTGGTGAATAGTGACTGGGGTCTTCAAAGCTTCTGAGTGGCCATCTAAGATGCAGCTAATGGTTTCCTATAATCAGAAGGGAAGAAGAGTGCAAAAAAACAAGGGCATTTGGAAGCAATCAGCCCTAGGACATAACGGACCTCGAGACCTGAAGAACTGGATGGTGCCCAGCTATCAATGCCAACCACTTGGGAAGGGATCAAAACTGGAGATCCTGGATAGAGTGGGAGGAAAAATGTGGAACAAAATCCAAAAACTCAATAATGACCAGAATTAATGGTCAGATGGAGTCTGATGGACCCCCAATACTATGGCCTTGGGATACACTTAGGGCCTGGAATAAAACTCACTCCCAGGGGCTGGCTCTCAGCCCAATAGTATATAAGATGTACATGCAGACCATTCAACCCAGAGTGATGCATGCACACACTCCATGGAGATGCAGTCGACCACAGGGCACCAAGAGGGGCAATATTCACACTGAGGAAATGCAGGATACACATGAGTACTTAACTATGAGGGGCACAGGGTAGGGGGGTGTTACTGGGAAGGCAGAGGAGGAGAGTGGGTTAGGGTTGGGGATGGTAACTGGGTAGTGAAACCAAATGTACACAAAATGTTGAATGTAAAACAAACTCTGCTCTGTAAACTTGCACCTAAAGCACTATATATATATATATATATATATATATGAATGTGTGTGTGTATATATATATATATATATATATATATGAATGTATATCTTTTTCAATGAGGAAAATCATCTAAGAATATGTGAAAGCAAAGTAAAAGAAACTTAAATGGTAAATATTAATACTGAACAGAAGTAGAGAAATATCACATACAGTTGTACTTTAATAAGAAAATGAGGTTGAAATGGTTAAGATTATGTGTATTGACCCAAAATTACTTAAGTTTTTATTCTGTTTTATTTACTGTGGATTATTTTGGAGAGGAACAAAATAATTGCCAAGTTGGCAAAAATCAAGCAAAAGTCCACAGTATATTAGTTAATATAGTTTCATTTGAGATGTATGAACATGATTGGATATACAGTAAGTGATGGCTTATGGAAGTCTAATATTCAAGCTAAAGTATGGTGACTCCATCCTGAAATTTATGTTTGAAGCAATTTTGATTCATTTAAAATGTATGACATAAGAAATACCATAAAGGAAAGTCTTCTTTTGGAAGACACTCAAGAGCAATAAATTTGGTTGTTGTGAAGATGCTTAAAACATTTACTTGGTGGACAATAACTGTAAATCGTCACAATCATAATAATTAGTAGAACTGTGTTTTTATCCTAGCTCTGTTACTAAATAACTTACGGCCTTGAGGAACTCTGTTTCTCTGGGCTTCAGTTTCTTAACATGTAAAATAAGAAGGTTAAACCAGATGACCCCAAGGAGTCATTTCACAATAAAAATTCCATACTTAATCATTTTGATCCAGATACCAAAGAATAGTCTGAGTTCTTAAGGAATGTTTTTACCCCAAGCCCCCAAAGTATTAAGCTAAATAAAGTCTGTCATAGGCAAGTTTATATAATTACGTTGATCCAGTCTTTACTTAATTGTAAAGATTACAAAACATAAAAAACCAAAACTTCCCCCAAAGTGGTTCCAATGCAGAGACCTGGGAATTTAAGTACATAGTATATTTTAAATATGTTTAATAACTTAATTCATACAGACTGATGAATGCAATGGAAAAGCAGACCACCTAAGGATTTTAAGAGTTAGAAACTCCACATTCTGCAACTAGGAAAACAAGAAGCCATTGCACATTGGTATATCACAATGTATTTTAAAGCATATGAGTCTCCCCACCCACCCCCCAAAACTGGCAGTGATTATACATTAGTGCGACCACAGAGCACTTGTAAACATTTTTTTGTTCAACATTTTCAGTGTCCATCACAACAAACTTTGTTTGGTTAGCTGGTAAGGTGTTTCTTGATCTGAATTTTTTGAGTGTTGCTGTTTCAAGTCACCACCACTACCCCAAACCACAACCATCCATCCAGAAATGCTTACTGTCTGGGGTTGGAGAAACAGGTGGTGTGTAGGTGAATTTGAAGAAATCTTTCACTTTTTAAAATAAGAAAACAAATTTCATGCCATGATTGGAAACATTACTGTATACCACAGATAATTTATACTTACCACTTTTTAAGCCAAGGGGCATTGTCAAACTTGGTAAGAGTCAGGCTAGAGGCAGCCTTAGTGTGAATTCTCCTCTCTCTAAGGCTTAGTGTTAGGGAAGGGGAGGAAAAGTATGCATACCAGAGTTGGCTTACATTATATTAACTATGCTTTTAAAATACCACTAAAAGACTGATGGTAACAGAAGTTGCTTTATAAAAAGCAACAGCTTTTTACACAGCTGAGTCTTAGTCAATTATAATTTTTATACATTGAGATTCTTGAGAGCTAATGAGAAATCCAAGTTGTAATAGGATACATAACAGAGTAAATGACCTTCTCTGTTTTCATCAGGATTCAGAATCTGTAGCTGTTAGGGGAAGTCCTTAGACACATAGTGGAGCGCTAACCAGTGAACACAGATCTAATAACAATGGGGCACTGGCAGAAAAGACCTTCTTTCCTTGAGATCCAAACATCATCTCAACCCCCTTTTTCTTTTCTTTTCTTTTGTCCTCCTGGCAAGAAAAGATACATCAACTTCCTTCAATGCTAGGGAAGCCCACATTGTTTATTTATGAAGTTTCATTCACCTCCCTTTAAGTTACAATATGTGTACTTTAACAACAAAAGTGAATTGTCAAACTTCAATTGTAAATGCTGACATAACAGGTTAAATATAGTTCTTAAGCACTACTATACATTCTTTTACATCCCTATTGTCTACTTCAGGTCTGAGATGCTGTTTCCTTCCTGCACTCCTCCTCTAAGCAGGCTCTTCAGCATAGAATAGTATCTCAAAGAAGGTCAAACCTTCTCGCCAGAGGTGAAAATGATCAGGGTTGTAGTCTTCTTTAGAAAATGCTGTGCTGAGTCTCATGGGGTGGTCTTGTGAGATCCGACTAGATGACCAGATCACTCTTGAACAAAAAGAGGAGTCAAAGAGGACTTGGATCTCCAGAGAAAAATAAAGTGCTGCCCCCTATAAATCACAGTCTTTGTGGAGTAAAGTGTCTTTCTAAAGAGGTAGAAATAATTCTGTGTGTTGCAGAAGCCCACATTTCAATGATACTGAACACTGATTACTTGTCTGCATCTTTTAAGGACTTAAAATGGACTGACTCCACTCATCTCTCTGATTTTTTCATAAGTAAGCCAGAACACCAGTGACCATGGGGTCTGAAAGATCAACCAAAGAAGTTAGTGCATATTTCAAAGCAATTATAAATATTATACACACACACACACACACACGCACACATATATATATGTGAGTAAATATATCACCTTTGAATAATAGTGATTCTGAATCCACTTCAGCTGAAAACAAGTATTTTGGTATTTCAACTTGGTAAAGCACTTCATAATTTACAAAGCATTTTCATATTGGATTTCTCATAGATTTCTCAAAACAACAAATTAAAATAGAAAGGAAAGGTATTAACATCTCTATTTTACAGATGAGGACACTGAGGCTTATTGGTCAAATGCCATTAGTATGTTGTGAGCTAGAACAAGGGCTTCTAGCTTCCCTTCCAGGGTTCTTTCTACTGAATCATTCTGGCTCAAGAGCTAGGACTCAGGAGGCCTGGATAGACTAGACTGGGCTCCTCTGCAGGTAGGTTGTATGTGAAGCATGACAATGAGGCATTTAAGAACTTGAAACTGAGAGAGACAGAAGATTGTCCTTTGGGAGTTAGGTCATAAAGCCAACACCTGATGTATCACAATATGGATATAAAAATTCACATTGAGTAGGGAAAGATTTTCCAGGACAGAAGGACTTGACTTGAACTTGAATGAAGGTGTTACTATACCTAAGAGAATTATAAGAGGCTGAGGTTTATTCAACAAGTTAAAAAAAAAAAAAAAAAAAAAAGCACTGGTGGCATAGTGCCTAAGGCACTTGATGGCTAACCAGAGGGCTGGATAGAAGATATAAAAACAAAAAATAAAGGAGGAAATTACAGAATAAACATTGTTGTTGTTGTTGTTATGTGCCATCGAGTCGGACCCGACTCATAGCGACCCCTCCTTGGGTTTCCGAGGCAGTATCACTACGGAAGTAGGTTGCCCCATCTTCCTTCCGAGGAGTGGCTGGTGGGTTTGAACCTCCAGCCTTCTGGTTAGCAGTCAAGTGCCTTAGCCACTATGCTACCAGAGCTCCCAGAATAAACATTAGAAGTAACCATTAGAGAAAGGGTACCTTGTATAGAATCCCTGAATCAGTTCATAGGATAATATTGATGAGAGAAGAACTCTGTCATATGAGAGCAGAACAATAAGATTAGACAATTAGAATGTAAAGTATAATTGTCTAGAGAATTTGTAAAGCAATATTTGTGTCATATGTGTTAGGAAACATTGAGTATGTTATATTGGTAGACTGAGAATTTACTAAATAGTGGATTTAGGAGAACACAACTTGTTTTGTTAAATGTATGAAGACATAGATGGAATAAGGAATATGAAGTTGTGAAGATACTATTTTCCTGTGGCAACAAAAATGAAGTGAGCCAAGGACCTAACTGCAGTCAGATCAGGGAGGCTGAGGTCTTGGTTAAGAATGGACTGTGAAATCATTGCTAATTGCTTCAGTAATCAGACTTCTTCCTCAAGTTGATGACATTATAGCAACCTAAGCATATACAAATGAAATAAAATATCAATCAGGAACAGAGCAGTGTGAGATTATATTATTTCTACCCCATGGAAGAGGTTGGGATGGAGTTTAGCTGTGTTTTGAAAAAAGTTAAGGGGAGAGAGCATATAGCCAAAGAACATGGGCAGTACATAAAGGTGATATATTGATCCTGTCTGCTGGAGCACATATAGGACACTGTATTTACTTGTTGGTATTCTCACTGGCAGAATTGTGACCAGTGTAAATAATCCATGTTGTTTCCTCTGGTCTGCCTGTTGCTGCTGGGAAAAAGCAGGATACTTCTGCATGGCTATTACGTGCTGCTAAACACATAAAGGTTCTATGGTTGATAGTCTTAAAATAACTAAGTTTATAAATAAAAGCTCTTCTTGTAATTTTATGTTCAGCAACCTTCTGACTATAACCTGGCTTCCAATATAGCTTGAATACAGGAAGAAATTTGCTATTCAGAAGACTTTTGTATCTGTATCATTTGCCAACAGAGTGTTAAAGAACAAAATGTTCTGGTTTAGTATCAGGATCAAGGGGTTAGCTAAGTTGAATCTGTATTTGCAAGGTGGATTTATTTGGAAGTACCAAGTCAGATTTCTAAAGTTAAGGTCATACATTGTGCCAAATCAATAAGGAAATGGCATCCTAGTGATTGTTGGTGGTTAGCCAGCCTTTCTTTCACAATGTTCTACCATCATCATGCACTGTCTCTTTTCTTTTAAAACTTCTGTAACTAGCTTCAGGCTCTTGAGTAGTTCAGTATATTGCAGCATGCAATTTAGAGGTGAAGAGACTTGCAGTTAATTCCCAGGTCTCATACATTCTAGTTACATGAACCTGAGCCAGTCTGTTAACTGTTAGAGCCATGGTTTTCTCATCTGAAAAATGAGGATAATATCTCCTGTTTAACTAGGTTCTTGTAAAATTTAAAAAAATAAATAATATATGTAAAGAGTTTAGCACGGTGCTTGTCACATACTAACTTTTTTTTTTTTTGTCTCTGGTTTTTGGTCATTTATACTTCCCAAGCCTCATATAAAAAGAGAATGGGTCAGATTAAATAATCTCAGCATTTGTATGTACTTGGATAATCTCCCTGTCCCTCAATCCCTCTTGATCCTGATTTTGTTTCAATTAATGGTCTCACTCATCCTCTTGGTCTCTTAACAAGAGAAACATAAAAGTCCTATTTGTTTCTTTCCCTCCCTTACCTTCACATATAGTTGGTTAGTAAATCCTGTGGAGCCAATCAAGAATGTTCTTAGATTCCCTCTTCTCTTCATTTCTACAGTTAACTACTGGTTAGACCACTGTTAGGACATCCTTTCTGGTGTCCTAGCTTTCAGTGTATCTTCTACCGTGTGGCCAAAGTAAACTTGCCCCAACCAAAGCTTGGCACATCACCTCATTTAAAGAGTCACTGACTACTGGACTACATGATGACTCTGTGTACAACAGAATGAAACACTGCCTGGTCATGTGCCATCTTCACAATTCTTGGTATGTACGACAAACTGACAGAATGGTGGGGGAGTGCACTAATACAACCTCCTTATTAAGACTATGTCCTTTGGAGTCAGGCTGATTGAGTTTGATGCCCTGACTCCAATATTTAATAACTGACTCAGTGGCAATGTTTTTTTTTTTTTTTTTTTAAAAAAAAAACCTGGTCAAGTTATTTAGACTTTGTAAGCTTTTGTTTCCTCCTCTAAAAAGGGAGTTACGATAATCTATTGTACAGGTTGTTGGGAGAAGTCAATGAGTTAAGCCATAAAAATGTTTAGCACAGTGTTGGGCATATACCAAGTGATTAATACTAGCTTTATTATTTGTGTTATTTTGATTGTCATGTTTATCTTCCTCATCACATTATAAGCCCCTCTAGTGCAAACACTCTTATTCCTTAGTATTATGAGCACTTATAATAGAGCCTGGTTAATGCAAGCCAAATGAAAATCTTCCTTTCAAGAAATATGTACAGTTTTGATATAATTTCAAGGTATAATCACAACCACTAAAATTATGTTTTTCAAGTATGATACACACTTGTATTAGATAATGACAAGTGCTTTGACTATTCATTCCAATTACATGCTAATAAATAGACACTGACTATCCCTTGGTGAGGGAAGCTGTGGTGATGTAGTACCTAAGTCATCTGACTGCTGATCAGATGGCTGGCAGTTCAAATCCACCAGCTATTTCCCAGAAGGAAGGTTGGGCAATCTACTTCTATAATGATAATACCTTGGAAACCCAAGGAAGGGTTGCTATGAGTTGGACCTGACTTGACGGCAATGAGTTTGAGTTTGAGTTTTTAATCCCTTGGTGATATCATTTATTCTCACAGCTTTCACTATCATTTATATGTTGATAATGCTACTATCTATATGTAGATAATGTAAAGATCTATATGATCTTTATTGTATTCTTTTCTAAGATCCAGATCTATATAAAAACAAAACCAAACTCACTGCTGTTGAGTCGATTTCAACCATAGATATAGATCTATATATTGGTAGTTGTCTAGACATCTTTATTTGGATATCCTATGGGATCTACCACCACTCATCTGTCAGCTTGTCATACTATAATGGCTTGTGTGTTCCTGCAATGCTGGAAGATATGCCACCAGTTATTTCAAATACCATTAGATTCATCCAATCTACCACCACTCATCTGTCAGCTTGTCATACTATAATGGCTTGTGTGTTGCTGCAATGCTGGAAGATATGCCACCAGTTATTTCAAATACCATTAGATTCATCCATGGTAGACAGGTTTCAGCAGAGCTTTCAGAATCAAACATACTAGGAAGAAGTATGTGGCCAGGTCCACTTCTGAAAAAACCTTATAAATAGCAGGGAAATATTGTCTGATATGGTACTGGAAGATGAGGCTCTTAGGTTGACAGGTACCCAAAATATGAATGGGGAAGAGCTGCCGCCTCAAATCAGAGATGAACTTAATGAAGTAAATCTCTTGGGACCTTCCTTTGCTGATGTGGCGCAACTCAAAGTGAAAATAAACAGCTGCAAAAATCTATTAATAATCAAAATTGGAATGTATGAAGTATGAATCTAGAAAAGTTGGAAGTTGTCAAAAATGAAATAGAATACATAAAGATTGATATCTTAGGCATTAATGAGCTGAAATGGACTAGTATTTGCCATTTTGAATTGGACAGTCATATGGTCTACTATACAAGGATGGCAAATTGAAGAGGAATAATGTCACATTCACTGTCAAAAAGAACATTTCAAAATCTAACCTGAAGTCCAGTGATAGCATAATATTCACACACCTACAAGGAAGACCAGTTAATATTACTATTATTCAAATTTAAGTACTAACCACTAAAGCCAAAGATGAAAAAATTGAAGATTTTAACCAACTTCTGCAGTCTGAAATTGATCAAACATACAATTAAGATGTATTGGTAATTATTGGTGATTGGAATGAGAAAGTTGGAAACAAAGAGGACGGCAAAATTGACGCACTTGAGTTGTAGCATTGGTGAAGAATATTGAATTTACCATGGACTGCTAGAAGAACAAACAAATCTGTCTTGGAGAAAGTACAGCCACAATGCTCCTTAGAAGCAAGAATGGCCAGATTTCATGTCTTGTATTTTGGTCATGTTGTCAGAAGGGACCACTCCCTGGAGAAGGATATCATGCTTGATAAAATAGAGGGTCAGCAAAAAAGGGAAAGACCCCCAATGAGATGAATTGACACAGTGGCTGCAACAATGGGCTCAGGCAGGGCAATGACTGCGAGGAAGGTACAGGACTGGGCAGTGTTTCATTCCGTTGTGCACATGATCACTGTGAGTTGGAACTGACTTGATGGCACCTAACAACATGGGTTTCCAATACTTAACATAGCAAAAACTGAACTTGTTATTGTACCCCAAAATACTCTTTCCTGAAAATAATCCCCATTTTAGGAAACAACATCACCATCAGTTGCTTAGAGCAGGAATCTGAGAGTAAAGCTGACTTCTTCTTTGATCATTCCTCCATCTCCATTCCATCAGATATGTTTCTATCTCCTTTTTATGCCTAACTAATTTTTTTAATCCATTTTCATTGGTTCCCACTTTCATACCATAGTTCAAGCCCCCATTATCTCTCCACTACAACTACTCCTATACTTGTTACAACTTACATGGCTGTCAGAATGATCTTTCAAAACAGAAAGGTTTCATCAAGCCAGTGTTCTATTAAAAATTCTTAAGTAGCTTTCCTTCACTCTTATGATTTTCACAGCCCTCCCTGATCTGGTATGTGCCTCACCATATGCCTCCACCCTCCATCTTTGCCTCAGCCTGCTGGGCTTTCATTGGTTGCTTGATCTCATCATGTTTTTTGTCCAATTTATCTACCCTAGAATGTTTCTGTCTTTCTCACCTGGCCAAGTCCTACTCATTCTTCAAATCTCAGTTCAAAAGTTCAACCTCCGGAGAGGCTTTCTTAATTTCTCAGCCAGTGCTGTACTTAAACAGTTGCCATCCAGTTGATTCCAATTCATAGTGACCCTACTGCTCCATTTCCCGAGCACCATGCACAATTCCCACAATACACGCCATTTCTATATCTTATTCAATGTTTCTTCTCAACCTAAATTATAATAAGCTCCAGCACTAGGCCAGGGCTGAGACTATTTTTTTCATCTCAAAGCCAAGTTTTTATAGCAGAGGATTTTACTCAATTAATATTACTGTATTTTATTTCACTAATTTTTCATTATTTGGATTTATAAACCCATAACTCATCCATTCTTTTAAGTATTCTTTAACTTATAAAATACTTGATTACCTTGCTTTTATATTTTCTGTTACTTGAACAAGTCTATATAATCCTATATCTTAGTTCACTTCCTTCTAAACCAAATAAAAATGATATGTTTCTTTACCAAGCAGAGTTCTATGATAATAATACTTTGTGAGTAAAAATTTGATGGTAAAGTTTGCCATCAAAGTAACATATTATGTTTTAAAACACTACAATTTTTATAGGAATAGTTTCTAATGTGAAATCTATATTTCCAAACTGCTGTTCCAAATCACTGTTCCAAACTACTATACTTTGGCTAAGTAGACTATTATAAGTTTTATATTTCTATCCATAGTCTTTTTGGCAAAAGAATGCTGACTGATTAATTTATAGGTGTAACTGAATAAGTTTACCCTCATCTACTAACAAAGGTAATATGATTCTGAAGAGAGATGAACGAAAACAAACAAACAAAAAAAGATTAATAAACAAAGAAAGGACCTTGATTTGGCCTAGGGCTATGCGAAAAAACAAAAGGAGAAGATATTCACAAATTAAAAATAATTTAAATGCAAAGAAAAGAAAAACAAAGAAGGTAAAAGAAACCTAACTTTACCATTCGCAGCCAAGATGGTAAAAAGCCTTTATACAGACTCATAAATCCTTCACCTTGAACCGCCTGAATCAAGCAATCTGTGGACGATTTATACAAAAGTCCCCTAAAAAGAAAATAAGAGAATTTTGTTAAATTTTTTCTTTGTAAATAGACATACAAATAAGTGTAATTAATCATATTGTATTGTATAAAATGATATTAATTTAAAATGAATGTATGTCTAAGGAATTTTCCAATTAGATGGAAATTTCTTATTGTAAGTTATATGCTTTTCTGCTAATTTACAACAAATGATATGTTGTAGTTCATAGATGTAGATCACTTCTTTTGAAGTTAAGGATATTTTCAAGGCTGACTTTTCTCATCCATCCCATCCTCGACCTTTTTCTTCGATTTCAGTCTACCTCTTCCAAAGAGAATGTACCATTTAATACCAAATCAAATTGTCCATATTACCTATAAACCAAAAGCTTCTGAAGAAAGTGTTATGCAAATTCTCAGCATAGTATACTTTCAAAAAGTCTTTGAAAACAATAAAGTCACAATGAATACTTTATGTGTTGTAAATAATGTTTGTAAATTAGCTCATTTCTCCAAAATGCATAGTACATTTCCCAAAAACAGAGAACAGGTATTTGCATAAAAACAATTTCCTGCTTGGACACATAAACATATTTCTATCAAGAAGAAACACACACAAAAAAAATCTTTAAACGACAATATTACTACAGACATTCAAACACGTACTGAAAGACTTTCTATCTACCTTCCTTGTTTATCTCTTGGTTGATTCATTATTCGGCTTTTGATGACATCAGCTGGTGTTCCCAGAATAGAAGCTACCAGTCCAGAACATAAACTACAGACACAAATAAGTGAAATTGAAGGATAGCATGTAACAGCATCTAAATTCTAAGAAAGAGAATTTATATTTACAAAGAATGGGATACTGCATATATTATTCCAATAGTCTCCATAATAATTATCTTTTACTTTAAAATTAATTTATTAGAGAGGTATAAAAAATAAAAACAAAAACAATGTCAGTCAGTCAACAAATATGCCTCAAGCACCTGCTGGTGCCAGACATTCTTCTAGGCAGTGAAGAACAAGACAGATAAGACCCTGCCTTCAAGAAACGTGCACTCTAGTTGGGCTGAGGCAGAGAAGAAATGATAACTTTAGGTGTTAATAAGTAGTATGAAGAAAATAAAATGTGGTGATGTGATGGACAGTTAACTAGGTAACAGACAGTTGGGAGAAGGCTCTTGAAGTGAACTGAGACCTGGATAGTGAAAGGAGGCATCCATGTGAACACCTGAAGGAAGAGAACTGTAAGCAGAAGCAATAAGACATGCAAAGTCCTCAAGCCAAGAAAACTCTTGGTGTTACTAGGAGACCAAAAACAGCCAATGTGGCTGCAACATCATAAGAGAGGGTGAGAGCCCACACAGAGGAAAGACTACAGAAGCAAGCAGTGATCAGAACATGAAGCCTATTAAAGGAGTTTGATCTTAATTCTAGATGTGAGGAAAGTTTTGAAAGAATTTAAATAAGAGAATCACATAATGTTGTTAGTATTCAAAAAACAAATTCATTTTGGCCACTGTTTTAAGTCTCAGTTCATTAAGATACTCCATTTGAATATACTAACCTTGCCTGTTTCTCTCTGCCCTAAACAATGATACTGAAAAGATTTTCTAAAAACAAATCTAATTATGCCAGTTTCTCTATTTAAAGCCATCAAGGGCTTATTCCCTATCAACAGATTGAGCTCATGTTCTGGCCATGTCATACAAAGTCCTCCAAGTTCTCATCCCTCTTAACCCATGATGTTCTAACAATGTAACTAACTGTAGTTCTCAGTTCATACCACACTATGCAACACCTCTGCCTTAATTGTTCTCTGTGGAATGTTGTTGTTGTTGTTGTTAAGTGCCGTCGAGTCATTTCCGACTCATAGCGACCCCATGAACAGCAGAACGAAACACTGCCCGATCCCGCACCAGCCCCACAATCCCTGCTATACTCGAGCCCATCATCACAGCCACCGTATCAATCCATCTCCTTGA